AAGTATAATACAGGTCTCAATCATACTTAAGTATAATACAGGTCTCAATCATACATTAAGTAAATACAGGTCTCAATCATACATTAAGTATAATACAGGTCTCAATCATACTTAAGTATAATACAGGTCTCAATCATACTTAATGTATAATACAGGTCTCAATCATACTTTAAGTATAATACAGGTCTCAATCATACTTTAAGTATAATACAGGTCTCAATCATACATTAAGTATAATACAGGTCTCAATCATACTTTAAGTATAATACAGGTCTCAATCATACTTTAAGTATAATACAGGTCTCAATCATACTTTAAGTATAATACAGGTCTCAATCATACTTAAGTATAATACAGGTCTCAATCATACATTAAGTATAATACAGGTCTCAATCATACTTAAGTATAATACAGGTCTCAATCATACTTAAGTATAATACAGGTCTCAATCATACTTAAGTATAATACAGGTCTCAATCATACATTAAGTATAATACAGGTCTCAATCATACTTAAGTATAATACAGGTCTCAATCATACTTAAGTATAATACAGGTCTCAATCATACTTTAAGTATAATACAGGTCTCAATCATACATTAAGTATAATACAGGTCTCAATCATACATTAAGTATAATACAGGTCTCAATCATACTTAAGTATAATACAGGTCTCAATCATACATTAAGTATAATACAGGTCTCAATCATACTTTAAGTATAATACAGGTCTCAATCATACTTTAAGTATAATACAGGTCTCAATCATACATTAAGTATAATACAGGTCTCAATCATACTTTAAGTATAATACAGGTCTCAATCATACTTTAAGTATAATACAGGTCTCAATCATACATTAAGTATAATACAGGTCTCAATCATACTTTAAGTATAATACAGGTCTCAATCATACTTAAGTATAATACAGGTCTCAATCATACTTAAGTATAATACAGGTCTCAATCATACATTAAGTATAATACAGGTCTCAATCATACATTAAGTATAATACAGGTCTCAATCATACATTAAGTATAATACAGGTCTCAATCATACTTAAGTATAATACAGGTCTCAATCATACATTAAGTATAATACAGGTCTCAATCATACTTAAGTATAATACAGGTCTCAATCATACTTAAGTATAATACAGGTCTCAATCATACTTTAAGTATAATACAGGTCTCAATCATACATTAAGTATAATACAGGTCTCAATCATACTTTAAGTATAATACAGGTCTCAATCATACTTTAAGTATAATACAGGTCTCAATCATACATTAAGTATAATACAGGTCTCAATCATACTTAAGTATAATACAGGTCTCAATCATACTTAAGTATAATACACGTCTCAATCATACTTAAGTATAATACAGGTCTCAATCATACATTAAGTATAATACAGGTCTCAATCATACTTAAGTATAATACAGGTCTCAATCATACATTAAGTATAATACAGGTCTCAATCATACTTTAAGTATAATACAGGTCTCAATCATACTTTAAGTATAATACAGGTCTCAATCATACTTTAAGTATAATACAGGTCTCAATCATACTTTAAGTATAATACAGGTCTCAATCATACATTAAGTATAATACAGGTCTCAATCATACTTTAAGTATAATACAGGTCTCAATCATACTTTAAGTATAATACAGGTCTCAATCATACATTAAGTATAATACAGGTCTCAATCATACTTTAAGTATAATACTACAGGTCTCAATCATACTTAAGTATAATACAGGTCTCAATCATTAATATAAATACAGGTCTCAATCATACTTTAAGTATAATACAGGTCTCAATCATACTTAAGTATAATACAGGTCTCAATCATACTTTAAGTATAATACAGGTCTCAATCATACTTAAGTATAATACAGGTCTCAATCATACTTAAGTATAATACAGGTCTCAATCATACATTAAGTATAATACAGGTCTCAATCATACTTAAGTATAATACAGGTCTCAATCATACTTAAGTATAATACAGGTCTCAATCATACTTAAGTATAATACAGGTCTCAATCATACTTTAAGTATAATACAGGTCTCAATCATACATTAAGTATAATACAGGTCTCAATCATACATTAAGTATAATACAGGTCTCAATCATACTTTAAGTATAATACAGGTCTCAATCATACTTTAAGTATAATACAGGTCTCAATCATACTTTAAGTATAATACAGGTCTCAATCATACTTTAAGTATAATACAGGTCTCAATCATACATTAAGTATAATACAGGTCTCAATCATACTTTAAGTATAATACAGGTCTCAATCATACAATATATAACAGGTCTCAATCATACTTTAAGTATAATACAGGTCTCAATCATACATTAAGTATAATACAGGTCTCAATCATACTTTAAGTATAATACAGGTCTCAATCATACTTTAAGTATAATACAGGTCTCAATCATACTTTAAGTTAATACAGGTCTCAATCATACTTTAAGTATAATACAGGTCTCAATCATACTTTAAGTATAATACAGGTCTCAATCATACTTTAAGTATAATACAGGTCTCAATCATACTTTAAGTATAATAGGAAAGCATCCAACCGGAAAGTGTACACACTGCAGCCAGCCAGAAACTGTTGAGCATTTTTACTGCTTTGCAGGAAATATAGTACTCAGAGAAATGTGCTTTTCCAGACACTGAAGAAAGCAAAATTCCATGACTTGTCGCTATCAGGGCTGTTAGGGAAAACATCAGGCAATATATATTGTGAGATTATTAAATTTCTAAGATAAATTGATCCATTTAAAATAATCTAGAGTTTTGGTTCTTTCTTTTGTTTCTTTTGTTTCTTGTTTTCTGCATAGTCTCTTGTCCACACTCCAGTCCAGTTGGTGGCGGTAATGCGCCTACAAGTTGGTTTGCCAACCGCCAATAAACACTAAAGAAGAGGAAGAAGAAGCACTACAACTCCCAGCAGCCTCTGCGTGACCGGAAGCCGTGAAGCCTCCGTCAGAGAAGAATAAAAAGGTAAACAGCTGATAGTCTCTGTACCGTATTTAATAACAGCTGATAGTCTGTAATATACCGTATTTAATAACAGCTGATAGTCTGTAGTATACCGTATTTAATAACAGCTGATAGTCTGTAGTATACCGTATTTAATAACAGCTGATAGTCTGTAGTATACCGTATTTAATAACAGCTGATAGTCTGTAGTATACCGTATTTAATAACAGCTGATAGTCTGTAGTATACAGTATTTAATAACAGCTGATAGTCTGTAATATACAGTATTTAATAACAGCTGATAGTCTGTAGTATACAGTATTTAATAACAGCTGATAGTCTGTAGTATACAGTATTTAATAACAGCTGATAGTCTGTAATATACAGTATTTAATAACAGCTGATAGTCTGTAGTATACAGTATTTAATAACAGCTGATAGTCTGTAGTATACAGTATTTAATAACAGCTGATAGTCTGTAGTATATGGCTGATAGCACTACTTGGTGTGAGGAAGCAGCCTCTGATCTTAGAGTATAACATTTCAACAGAAGGTCGTTGCTCTGAGGAAGGACTTAGTTAACGTGATACAAGTGAGCCTTAAATTACTGACAGTTTCTGACAGCATAGCTAACATGTCTGTTTCTAACTCAGCCTGCTGTTACTGTAACAAGGCTAACAGGCTAACAAGCTAACAGGCTAACAAGCTAACAGGCTAACAGACTAACAGGCTAACAGACTAACAGGCTAACAAGCTAACAGGCTAACAAGCTAACAGGCTAACAGACTAACAGACTAACAGACTAACAAGCTAACAGACTAACAGACTAACAAGCTAACAGACTAACAGACTAACAGACTAACAGGCTAACAGGCTAACAGACTAACAGGCTAATATGCTAACAGGCTAACATGCTAACAGACTAACAAGCTAACATGCTAACAGACTAACAAGCTAACATGCTAACAGACTAACAAGCTAACAGGCTAACAAGCTAACAGACTAAACAGTAGTGATGGCAGTTTGACACTGAAGCTTCGAAAGGAGCTTCAATCCTGGACTTCCTGTTCCATAGAAGCAGTGCTTCTGCTTCGAAGCTTGCTTCAAATCACGTGACATATGACGTCCGAAGCTGCAACTGCTTCATTTCCTGAATCACTCACTGATTCGCGGTCCATTCACGCGATTCAATGCACTGCCTCGTCTCGATTCTGACAGGTGACAGGTTGAAACAGTTTCGAATGTGAGCGCTTCAACACTTTATGACCGCTCTAAACAATGCGCAATGTGTGGGTTGTTGTCGTAGTTTGCGTTGTTGTGTTGAGTTGTTGTTGGCATTGCATTTGATATCATTATAGAGCAAGCCAGGAAGAAAGATAGGTCGTTCTGGGAAACACTTTGAAATGTGGAGAAGTTCTGAACAAAATGACAATTCTCAGTAATATAAAAACAGTTCAGTAGTTTAAGCAATAGATAGCCCAGTGGGTCGAGTCGGCGGCCCGAATGCGGCGATGTCCTCCGCGGAGCTGGTTCAAAGCCCGGAATGGATGTACTTTTGATCATTGCTCTTCAACTTTAATACTTTAATAACTGATAAAAGGCCCTCTCCTCCCAAAAACATGTCCAGCACTCTCTAGTAACCCAATACACACAATTATCAATCTTTAATTGCAAATAGTGTGTGTGTGTGTGTGTGTGTGTGTGTGTGTGTGTGTGTGTGTGTGTGTGTGTGTGTGTGTGTGTGTGTGTGTGTGTGTGTGTGTGTGTGTGTGTGTGTGTGTGTGTGTGTGTGTGTGTGTGTGTGTGTGTGTGTGTGTGTGTGTGTGTGTGTGTGTGTGTGTGTGTGTGTGTGTGTGTGTGTGTGTGTGTGTGTGTGTGTGTATATATAATATGTTTCAAGGCAATGATACGTTAAACCCACTGCAGCCTTGCACTTCGCCAGGAGAGGTCGCTGTAACTGAAGCTTCGAGAAATGAACCTATTTCCGACACAATTGTCCAAGTGGTTCAACGCTTCATTCAAAGCTTCATTTACCCATCACTAGCTAACAGGCCAACAGACTAACATGCTAGCAGCAGGGTCTGGTATCTAAAGGGTCTGTGGTTAAAGTCAGGAATAACATCAGGAGGGTCTGTTGCAGAGATGTTCACAAGTCTTTTTTTGCAAGTCCAAGTCAAGTCTCAAGTCTTTGGTCACGAGTCCAAGTCAAATCTCAAGTCTTTGTGGGGTGAGACTTGATCAAGTCTTTGGTCACGAGTCCAAGTCTCAAGTCTTTGTTGGGTGAGACTTGATCAAGTCTCAAGTCTTTGGTCACGAGTCCAAGTCAAGTCTCAAGTCTTTGTGGGGTGAGACTTGATCAAGTCTCAAGTCTTTGGTCACGAGTCCAAGTCTCAAGTCTTTGTGGGGTGAGACTTGATCAAGTCTCAAGTCTTTGGTCACGAGTCCAAGTCTCAAGTCTTTGTGGGGTGAGACTTGATCAAGTCTCAAGTCTTTGGTCACGAGTCCAAGTCAAGTCTCAAGTCTCTAAAACATAAAAGTCTCATGTCTCTTCTGGTTGTAATAAGCCTTCTATTGTCTGCTGCTATCCAGTCTGTTAAGAATACTGCACAGCTATATCTAAGACATTCAAAGCATTGACTGTATTATTATCACTCCTATATCTATTAGCATACAGTATCAGTACTGATTAGTTGTTATATGATCACTTTAAACAGGCTATTGCAATATGAGGACAAACATCACACTTTAGCTAAATGCAAACAACTTATAAGCAAAACACTTCAGAATCAGAAATACTTTATTAATCCCCCGCAGGGAAGCTGTGTTAAAAGTACTTCAAAGTAAACATTTGTTCTGTGCCATTTGCAACTAAAAAACTATTGCTGCAATATTATCTGAAATATACTGAAGTGGTGATATTAAAACATGACCTGTTCCAAAAGAGATATCTACCATTAACACCATTTACCAGCCAGATGCTGGTAAATCATGCAAGTGGCTGGTTCTGTATGTTGCACGCACCAGCCACAAATAACAATGGCAATCTATTGAGTGGCTGGTAACATTTTCAACATGAGGCTAGGCTAGCCATTTGGCCAGTTGACCTCTGCAAACCGTATTGTTGAATTACACTGGTTCTCTAATGACATCTTTTAAGTCTACTATAAATAAACATATTCCTCTATCCTCTCACTCAAACCCAGTGTAATGGTAACCTGGATAAAACCTGTAACATTAACGTTACGTGGTCAACAATAAACCTGTAACCTGCCTATAAACCGACAGATGTATTATGTATGTAACTATGTATTTTTCTACGTTTAACGTTAGCCAGTAGATGGTGGCAGCGGAACGTAATGATTAACGTTACCGACCTTTTTTATGTCATGTGAAGAGTTGGATGTCAACGCCACTCAACGCAAACAAGTGTGACAAGCAAACATTCACTCATCTTTTCAAATATTCAGTTACAAAGCTAGTAGCAAGCTAAGTTAACATTACATAGCTGATGCTGAGCTAAACATGTTTGCTAACCGTCCATATGCGTTAATGTGACTGACCTCTCCGGGTGAGTTTTCAAGTGCCTGATGACATTTGACGTTGTTGCACCAGCATCCTTGATTTTAATATTGCAGACTTTGCAGTGTGCGCTCTTTTGTTGGTGCCGCCGGCGTTTTGTTCGAAGTTTGTATAGTTGAACCTAATTACAAGCGGTACAGCTGCAGGTGTGCCGCCGGTCGCCATGGTGTTACCATGATGTTAATGTTAAAGGTGGGGTAGGTACGTTTGAGAAACCGGCTGAGATACAATTTTTGTTATATTCCATGGAATGCTCTTAACATCCCGATAGCCGGCCCGACTAAAGTAACTGGATGGCCTACCTGCCTGTCAGCCTCTCATCGGGGCACAAACTTATCTCGTGCCCTCATTGGTCATGTGCGCGTTGATTGATTGATTGATTGAAAAGTGTATTAACAGCTTGTATATTGGGTACAGTACAGTACAGCTCAAAACATACAATTGTTAAGGGGATGCAGACCAGAGAAAGACTTTCGTCTTGTTTACATCAGGGTCCCCCATTTCCAATTCATCATGTCATTTAAGACATATAAGACATATTTGACATACAGATGGCTTATTTACAATTTACATACAGGTGGTTTTTTACATACAGATTGCTTGTTTACAATTTTCATTTTAGATTTCGTTCTAATACATCCTAACCGGACATTTAAGACATACCAAGTCTACAGATATACAGTTAGTAACAGAGTCTAAAATGCGAGTATATATCCATGTGTGTTAGAGGAGGGGCTCTGTGAGGAAGTGGCAGATTTTCTCCGGTTGTGTATTTCCAAATTCTAGCGATCTCGAGCCGGTTTCTCAAACTTACCTACCCCACCTTTAATACGCCAAAAATAGAAAACACAATGATTGTTCACGAGTCCCAAAACACGAGTCCAAGTCGAGTCCGAAGTCTTTTTAGCAGGAGTCCAAGTCAAGTCTGAAGTCTCTGTGTGTGCGACTTAAGTGCGACTCGAGTCCGAGTCACAGACTCGAGTCCCCATCTCTGGTCTGTTGTAATATTTACTCATATTTAAAACAGGGAGATCTTTATTGTTTCTGTCTGTGATGACGGTTTGATTAATAAAGTGTTGTTGTTTCCAGATGATGAAGAGTAAAGCTGACGAGGAAGAATACTGGAACAGCTCCAAGTACAAAGCCTTCACCTTCGATGATGAAGACGACGAGTTCAGCCGGGTGAGACCTGAGTCAGCATTATGAGTCCTTAACCCCGACATGAGTCAGCATTATGAGTCCTTAACCCCGACATGAGTCAGCATTATGAGTCCTAACCCCTGAGTCAGCGTTATGAGTCCTAACCCCTGAGTCAGCGTTATGAGTCCTAACCCCTGAGTCAGCGTTATGAGTCCTAACCCCTGAGTCAGCGTTATGAGTCCTAACCCCTGAGTCAGCATTATGAGTCCTGACCCCTGAGTCAGCGTTATGAGTCCTGACCCCTGAGTCAGCATTATGAGTCCTGACCCCTGAGTCAGCGTTATGAGTCCTAACCCCTGAGTCAGCATTATGAGTCCTGACCCCTGAGTCAGCGTTATGAGTCCTAACCCCTGAGTCAGCGTTATGAGTCCTAACCCCTGAGTCAGCGTTATGAGTCCTAACCCCTGAGTCAGCGCTATGAGTCCTTAACCCCGACATGAGTCAGCATTATGAGTCCTAACCCCTGAGTCAGCGTTATGAGTCCTAACCCCTGAGTCAGCGTTATGAGTCCTAACCCCTGAGTCAGCGTTATGAGTCCTAAACCCTGAGTCAGCATTATGAGTCCTGACCCCTGAGTCAGCGTTATGAGTCCTAACCCCTGAGTCAGCATTATGAGTCCTGACCCCTGAGTCAGCGTTATGAGTCCTAACCCCTGAGTCAGCGTTATGAGTCCTAACCCCTGAGTCAGCGTTATGAGTCCTAACCCCTGAGTCAGCGTTATGAGTCCTAACCCCTGAGTCAGCGTTATGAGTCCTAACCCCTGAGTCAGCATTATGAGTCCTGAACCCTGAGTCAGCATTATGAGGCCTGAACCCTGAGTCAGCGTTATGAGTCCTAACCCCTGAGTCAGCGTTATGAGTCCTAACCCCTGAGTCAGCGTTATGAGTCCTAACCCCTGAGTCAGCGTTATGAGTCCTAACCCCTGAGTCAGCGTTATGAGTCCTAACCCCTGAGTCAGCATTATGAGTCCTAACCCCTGAGTCAGCATTATGAGTCCTGAACCCTGAGTCAGCATTATGAGTCCTAACCCCTGTGTCAGCGTTATGAGTCCTAACCCCTGAGTCAGCGTTATGAGTCCTAACCCCTGAGTCAGCGTTATGAGTCCTAACCCCTGAGTCAGCGCTATGAGTCCTAACCCCTGAGTCAGCATTATGAGTCCTAACCCCTGAGTCAGCGTTATGAGTCCTAACCCCTGAGTCAGCATTATGAGTCCTAACCCCTGAGTCAGCGTTATGAGTCCTAACCCCTGAGTCAGCGTTATGAGTCCTAACCCCTGAGTCAGCGTTATGAGTCCTAACCCCTGAGTCAGCGTTATGAGTCCTGAACCCTGAGTCAGCATTATGAGTCCTAACCCCTGAGTCAGCGCTATGAGTCCTAACCCCTGAGTCAGCATTATGAGTCCTGAACCCTGAGTCAGCATTATGAGTCCTAACCCCTGAGTCAGCGCTATGAGTCCTAACCCCTGAGTCAGCATTATGAGTCCTAACCCCTGAGTCAGCGTTATGAGTCCTAACCCCTGAGTCAGCGCTATGAGTCCTAACCCCTGAGTCAGCGTTATGAGTCCTAACCCCTGAGTCAGCATTATGAGTCCTAACCCCTGAGTCAGCGCTATGAGTCCTAACCCCTGAGTCAGCATTATGAGTCCTGAACCCTGAGTCAGCATTATGAGTCCTAACCCCTGAGTCAGCGTTATGAGTCCTAACCCCTGAGTCAGCGTTATGAGTCCTAACCCCTGAGTCAGCATTATGAGTCCTGAACCCTGAGTCAGCACTATGAGTCCTAACCCCTGAGTCAGCATTATGAGTCCTAACCCCTGAGTCAGCGCTATGAGTCCTAACCCCTGAGTCAGCATTATGAGTCCTAACCCCTGAGTCAGCGTTATGAGTCCTAACCCCTGAGTCAGCATTATGAGTCCTAACCCCTGAGTCAGCATTATGAGTCCTAACCCCTGAGTCAGCGTTATGAAGTCCTAACCCCTGAGTCAGCGTTATGAGTCCTAACCCCTGAGTCAGCATTATGAGTCCTAACCCCTGAGTCAGCGCTATGAGTCCTAACCCCTGAGTCAGCATTATGAGTCCTAACCCCTGAGTCAGCATTATGAGTCCCTAACCCCTGAGTCAGCATTATGAGTCCTAACCCCTGAGTCAGCGCTATGAGTCCTAACCCCTGAGTCAGCATTATGAGTCCTAACCCCTGAGTCAGCATTATGAGTCCTAACCCCTGAGTCAGCGTTATGAGTCCTAACCCCTGAGTCAGCGCTATGAGTCCTAACCCCTGAGTCAGCATTATGAGTCCTAACCCCTGAGTCAGCATTATGAGTCCTAACCCCTGAGTCAGCGTTATGAGTCCTAACCCCTGAGTCAGCATTATGAGTCCTAACCCCTGAGTCAGCGTTATGAGTCCTAACCCCTGAGTCAGCGTTATGAGTCCTAACCCCTGAGTCAGCATTATGAGTCCTAACCCCTGAGTCAGCGTTATGAGTCCTAACCCCTGAGTCAGCATTATGAGTCCTAACCCCTGAGTCAGCATTATGAGTCCTAACCCCTGAGTCAGCGTTATGAGTCCTAACTCCTGAGTCAGCGTTATGAGTCCTAACCCCTGAGTCAGCGTTATGAGTTATTCCTCTGTGTTTCAGTTGAAAGAGTCGAAGCAGGCGGTGAACAGCATCCGCCGTCTGGTGGAGGAAGATGATGATGAAGAGGACGTGGAGAAGATCAGCTGGAGCGGAGAGCCTGTGGGGAGTGAGTTTATTATTATTATCAACACCTGTGGGCAGTCCTGGGCTGGGATTGGCTGTTGCAGCTGAGTTTATTGTTTCGTTGGAACGCTGACACAGCATTCCCACTATCTGTTTTGCTACGCACGAAATTCTTTATTATTCCACCGAGTTATTTTGCGCTGCTTCTCCTCCCGCATTGAACATCGCAGAAACTCCGTTCAAACATCAAAACGTTCAGCTCGGTAGGGAATCGATGGCTATTACTTTTCTCATTCATAACTTTCATAATTCCAGAGATACATCCCATAATACATCACATTTTTAAACCTCATTCCAACTTTAAAATGTCACACATCTTTCTGACATTATTCATATTAAACAACTTTTAAATCTGATTCATACTTTTAGAGATATTAAACATTGTTCAGACCTTGGTACAGAGGTTTTCTTCACATTTGAACATTAGTGTGTATTGAGCAGCTCGGTGCGTGATGTCACAGCTAGAGTGGAGGAGAGCTTGAAATTCGCCTTAATATTTCTTTTTAAACCTGCCATAATTCCCAAACCCTACATTCCTGAGACATCATTTATCATGACAAACGTAGGAAAACATCTCGTAGCTTGAAAAATGAAAAAAAATTAAGCTAAATAATTAATCAAGATGCCTCTTGACGGCATGAAGTGACAACAACATTCAACATGTCTCCATTAAAGCCAAATGTAAATTCAAGCTGATATTTACTCACAGCAGCAGCCGCACACCTTTAGTTAATCTGCCAAAAAGGCCACATTATTGACCGAAAGTACACAAAAAGTACAGTTTTAAGATTTCTTCAAATGCCGTTGCCATGGCAACACAATGCTCACTATGAAACACGGTTAACTTTAGTTCAAATGCTTGAAATGGCCCAAAACTTCACAGGTTTGTTAACGATGCAGCCATCAACGCATCTAAGCGTATTATGGTATGTCATCAAATGCCGTTGCCATGGCGACAGATCATTCGCCATAAAGTTAGTTCAAAAAGTTTGCAGTTCAAATATTCTGCTGCTTTTCCAAGCCTTTTTACTTTCTTCTCTCATCACACATTCAAGCCCCCAGTGTTCATGTATCATTTCAATCTCAATTCTTCTTACACATTTCAGCATAGCAGTTCAGCGTCAGCTTTTCAGCATAAAGCATTCCCACTAGCAATTTCTTCAGGAATTGCATTCTCTAGTTGTAATCATTCTGCTTCGTCTCCTCAGGTATATCCTGGTCTGTGAACGAGACGGCAGCATCCAATCAGAGGACAGACAGAGAGCCCGCCTTCCCCAAAATCAACACTGACACCTCAACGACCAGCAAGAGCCAATCAGGATACTCCCTGAGCTCCCTGTTCAAAGGTGAGACGGACAGGTGAAAGACAGACAGGTGGGAGACAGACAGATGAGAGCCAGACAGGTGAGAGACGGACAGGTGACACAGGTGAGAGACGGACAGGTGAGAGACGGACAGGTGAGAGACGGACAAGTGAGAGACAGACATGTGTCAGAGAGACAGACATGTGTCAGAGAGACAGACAGGTGAGAGAGAGGTGAGAGACGGACAGGTGAGAGACGGACAGGTGAGAGACAGACAGGTGGGAGACAGACAGATGACACAGGTGAAAGAGAGACAGGTGAGAGACGGACAGGTGAGAGACGAACAGGTGAGAGACAGACAGATGAGAGCCAGACAGGTGGGTGACAGACAGATGAGAGACAGGCAGGTGAGAGACGGACGGGTGACACAGGTGAAAGAGAGACAGGTGAGAGACGGACAGGTGAGAGACGGACAGGTGAGAGACGGACAAGTGAGAGACAGACAGGTGTCAGAGAGACAGACATGTGTCAGAGAGACAGACAGGTGGGTGACAGACAGATGAGAGACAGGCAGGTGAGAGACGGACGGGTGACACAGGTGAAAGAGAGACAGGTGAGAGACGGACAGGTGAGAGACGGACAAGTGAGAGACAGACAGACAGATGAGAGCCAGACAGGTGGGTGACAGACAGATGAGAGACAGGCAGGTGAGAGACGGACGGGTGACACAGGTGAAAGAGAGACAGGTGAGAGACGGACAGGTGAGAGACGGACAGGTGAGAGACGGACAGGTGAGAGACAGACAGGTGGGAGACAGACAGATGAGAGCCAGACAGGTGGGTGACAGACAGATGAGAGACAGGCAGGTGAGAGACGGACAGGTGACACAGGTGAAAGAGAGACAGGTGAGAGACGGACAGGTGAGAGAGAGGTGAGAGACGGGAGAGGTGAGAGACGGACGGGTGAGAGACGGACAGGTGAGAGACGGACAAGTGAGAGATGGACAGGTGAGAGACAGACAGGTGACACAGGTGAGAGACAGACAGGTGAGAGAGAGGTGAGAGACGGACAGGTGAGAGACGGACAGGTGAGAGACGGACAGGTGAGAGACAGACAGGTGGGAGACAGACAGATGAGAGCCAGACAGGTGGGTGACAGACAGATGAGAGACAGGCAGGTGAGAGACGGACAGGTGACACAGGTGAAAGAGAGACAGGTGAGAGACGGACAGGTGAGAGAGAGGTGAGAGACAGAGAGGTGAGAGACGGACAGGTGAGAGACGGACAGGTGAGAGACGGACAGGTGAGAGACGGACAGGTGAGAGACAGACAGGTGACACAGGTGAGAGACAGACAGGTGAGAGAGAGGTGAGAGACGGACAGGTGAGAGACGGACAGGTGAGAGACGGACCGAGACATATAGGTGTATGTATGAAACTGAAGGGAGATTTTTTTTCTCTGCAGGGAAAACTAAAGGAGGAAACTTCCAGCAGTTCACAGACTGTGAGTAAAATACACTCTGTGTGAGTTAGTGAATGAATAGATCAGTTAGTTAGTGAATGAATGAGTTAATGGGTTAATGAGTTAGTGAATGGATGGGTTAATGAGTTAGTGAATGGATGGGTTAATGAGTTAGTGAATGAATGGGTTAGTGAATGAATGGGTTAATGAGTTAGTGAATGAATGGGTTAATGGGTTAATGAGTTAGTGAATGAATGAGTTAATGGGTTAATGAGTTAGTGAATGAATGGGTTAATGGGTTAATGAGTTAGTGAATGAATGGGTTAATGAGTTAGTGAATGAATGGGTTAATGGGTTAATGAGTTTGTGAATGGATGGGGAATGGGTTAATGGGTTAATGAATTAGTGAATGAATGGGTTAATGAGTTAATGGGTTAATGAGTTAAAGGGTTAATGGGTTAGTGAATGGATGGGGAATGGGTTAGTGAATGGATGGGGAATGGGTTAATGAATGGATGGGGAATGGGTTAATGGGTTAATGAGTTAGTGAGTGAATGGGATAATGGGTTGATGAATGAATGGGTTAATGAGTTAATTGGTTAATGAGTTAGTGAATGAATGGGTTAGTGAATGGATGGGGAATGGGTTAATGGGTTGATGAATGAATAGGTTAATGAGTTAATGGGTTAATGAGTTAGTGAATGAATGGGTTAGTGAATGGATGGGGAATGGGTTAATGGGTAAATGAGTTAGAGAATTGATGGGGAATGGGTTAATGAGTTAGTTAATGAGTTAATGAGTTAATGGGTTAATGAGTTAGTGAATGAATGGGTTAGTGAATGGATGGGGAATGGGTTAATGGGTAAATGAGTTAGTGAATGGATGGGGAATGGGTTAATGAGTTAATGAATTAATGGGTTAGTGAATGGATGGGGAATGGGTTAATGGGTTAATGAGTTAGTGAATGGATGGGGAATGGGTTAATGAGTTAGTGAATGGATGGGGAATGGGTTAATGGGTTGATGAATTAATGGGTTAATGAGTTAATGGGTTAATGAGTTAATGAATTAATGGGTTAGTGAATGGATGGGGAATGGGTTAATGGGTTAATGAGTTAGTGAATGGATGGGGAATGGGTTAATGAGTTAGTGAATGGATGGGGAATGGGTTAATGAGTTGATGAATTAATGGGTTAATGAGTTAATGAGTTAATGAGTTAATGAGTTAGTGAATGAATGGGTTAATGGGTTAGTGAATGGATGGGTAATGGGTTAATGGGTTGATGAATTAATGGGTTAATGGATTAATGAGTTAATGGGTTAATGAGTTAGTGAATGAATGGGTTAATGGGTTAGTGAATGGATGGGGAATGGGTTAATGGGTTAGCCTAATGTTAAAGTGTTTGTGTCGTAGCGCTCACCGACTCCTCTCTCCGGCTCTATGCTCCAGAACTCCGAAAACCCAAATCTGAATACAAGGTACGAAATAAATCTGATGAAGGAATTTCATTTGATCCGTTTCCTAACAAGCTGGTTCTGTTTCAGGGTTACATCAGTGATTGGTTCTGTTTCAGGGTTACATCAGTGATTGGTTCTGTTTCAGGGTTACATCAGTGATTGGTTCTGTTTCAGGGTTACATCAGTGATTGGTTCTGTTTCAGGGTTACATCAGTGATTGGTTCTGTTTCAGGATAGCATCAGTGATTGGTCGGTTCTGTTTCAGGATAGCATCAGTGATTGGTCGGTTCTGTTTCAGGATAGCATCAGTGATTGGTTCTGTTTCAGGATAGCATCAGTGATTGGTTCTGTTTCAGGATAGCATCAGTGATTGGTTCTGTTTCAGGATAGCATCAGTGATTGGTCGGTTCTGTTTCAGGGTAGCATCAGTGATTGGTTCTGTTTCAGGATAGCATCAGTGATTGGTTCTGTTTCAGGGTTACATCAGTGATTGGTTCTGTTTCAGGGTTACATCAGTGATTGGTTCTGTTTCAGGATAGCATCAGTGATTGGTTCTGTTTCAGGGTTACATCAGTGATTGGTCCTGTTTCAGGGTTACATCAGTGATTGGTTCTGTTTCAGGGTTACATCAGTGATTGGTTCTGTTTCAGGATAGCATCAGTGATTGGTTCTGTTTCAGGATAGCATCAGTGATTGGTTCTGTTTCAGGGTTACATCAGTGATTGGTTCTGTTTCAGGATAGCATCAGTGATTGGTTCTGTTTCAGGATTACATCAGTTATTGGTTCTGTTTCAGGGTAGCATCAGTGATTGGTTCTGTTTCAGGATAGCATCAGTGATTGGTTCTGTTTCAGGATAGCATCAGTGATTGGTTCTGTTTCAGGATAGCATCAGTGATTGGTTCTGTTTCAGGATAGCATCAGTGATTGGTTCTGTTTCAGGATAGCATCAGTGATTGGTTCTGTTTCAGGGTAGCATCAGTGATTGGTCGGTTCTGTTTCAGGATAGCATCAGTGATTGGTTCTGTTTCAGGGTTACATCAGTGATTGGTTCTGTTTCAGGATAGCATCAATGATTGGTTCTGTTTCAGGATAGCATCTGTGATTGGTTCTGTTTCAGGATTACATCAGTGATTGGTTCTGTTTCAGGGTTACATCAGTGATTGGTTCTGTTTCAGGATAGCATCAATGATTGGTTCTGTTTCAGGATAGCATCAGTGATTGGTTCTGTTTCAGGATAGCATCAGTGATTGGTTCTGTTCAGGATAGCATCAGTGATTGGTTCTGTTTCAGGATAGCATCAGTGATTGGTTCTGTTTCAGGATAGCATCAGTGATTGGTTCTGTTTCAGGATAGCATCAGTGATTGGTCGGTTCTGTTTCAGGATAGCATCAGTGATTGGTTCTGTTTCAGGATAGCATCAGTGATTGGTTCTGTTTCAGGATAGCATCAGTGATTGGTTCTGTTTCAGGGTTACATCAGTGATTGGTTCTGTTTCAGGATAGCATCAGTGATTGGTCGGTTCTGTTTCAGGATAGCATCAGTGATTGGTTCTGTTTCAGGATAGCATCAGTGATTGGTTCTGTTTCAGGATAGCATCAGTGATTGGTTCTGTTTCAGGATAGCATCAGTGATTGGTTCTGTTTCAGGGTAGCATCAGTGATTGGTCGGTTCTGTTTCAGGGTAGCATCAGTGATTGGTTCTGTTTCAGGATAGCATCAGTGATTGGTTCTGTTTCAGGGTTACATCAGTGATTGGTTCTGTTTCAGGATAGCATCAATGATTGGTTCTGTTTCAGGATAGCATCTGTGATTGGTTCTGTTTCAGGATAGCATCAGTGATTGGTCGGTTCTGTTTCAGGGTAGCATCAGTGATTGGTTCTGTTTCAGGGTAGCATCAGTGATTGGTTCTGTTTCAGGATTACATCAGTGATTGGTTCTGTTTCAGGGTTACATCAGTGATTGGTTCTGTTTCAGGATAGCATCAATGATTGGTTCTGTTTCAGGATAGCATCAGTGATTGGTTCTGTTTCAGGATAGCATCAGTGATTGGTTCTGTTTCAGGATAGCATCAGTGATTGGTTCTGTTTCAGGGTAGCATCAGTGATTGGTCGGTTCTGTTTCAGGATTACATCAGTTATTGGTTCTGTTTCAGGATAGCATCAGTGATTGGTTCTGTTTCAGGATAGCATCAGTGATTGGTTCTGTTTCAGGATAGCATCAGTGATTGGTTCTGTTTCAGGATAGCATCAGTGATTGGTTCTGTTTCAGGGTAGCATCAGTGATTGGTTCTGTTTCAGGATAGCATCAGTGATTGGTTCTGTTTCAGGGTTACATCAGTGATTGGTTCTGTTTCAGGATAGCATCAGTGATTGGTTCTGTTTCAGGATAGCATCAGTGATTGGTTCTGTTTCAGGATAGCATCAGTTATTGGTTCTGTTTCAGGGTTACATCAGTGATTGGTTCTGTTTCAGGATAGCATCAGTGATTGGTTCTGTTTCAGGGTAGCATCAGTGATTGGTTCTGTTTCAGGATAGCATCAGTGATTGGTTCTGTTTCAGGATAGCATCAGTGATTGGTTCTGTTTCAGGTTTACATCAGTGATTGGTTCTGTTTCAGGGTTACATCAGTGATTGGTTCTGTTTCAGGATAGCATCAGTGATTGGTTCTGTTTCAGGATAGCATCAGTGATTGGTTCTGTTTCAGGATAGCATCAGTGATTGGTTCTGTTTCAGGATAGCATCAGTGATTGGTCGGTTCTGTTTCAGGATTACATCAGTGATTGGTTCTGTTTCAGGATAGCATCAGTGATTGGTTCTGTTTCAGGATAGCATCAGTTATTGGTTCTGTTTCAGGGTTACATCAGTGATTGGTTCTGTTTCAGGATAGCATCAGTGATTGGTTCTGTTTCAGGATAGCATCAGTGATTGGTTCTGTTTCAGGGTAGCATCAGTGATTGGTTCTGTTTCAGGATAGCATCAGTGATTGGTTCTGTTTCAGGTTTACATCAGTGATTGGTTCTGTTTCAGGGTTACATCAGTGATTGGTTCTGTTTCAGGATAGCATCAGTGATTGGTTCTGTTTCAGGATAGCATCAGTGATTGGTTCTGTTTCAGGATAGCATCAGTGATTGGTTCTGTTTCAGGATAGCATCAGTGATTGGTCGGTTCTGTTTCAGGATTACATCAGTGATTGGTTCTGTTTCAGGATAGCATCAGTGATTGGTTCTGTTTCAGGATAGCATCAGTTATTGGTTCTGTTTCAGGGTTACATCAGTGATTGGTTCTGTTTCAGGATAGCATCAGTGATTGGTTCTGTTTCAGGATAGCATCAGTGATTGGTTCTGTTTCAGGGTAGCATCAGTGATTGGTTCTGTTTCAGGATAGCATCAGTGATTGGTTCTGTTTCAGGTTTACATCAGTGATTGGTTCTGTTTCAGGGTTACATCAGTGATTGGTTCTGTTTCAGGATAGCATCAGTGATTGGTTCTGTTTCAGGATAGCATCAGTGATTGGTTCTGTTTCAGGATAGCATCAGTGATTGGTTCTGTTTCAGGATAGCATCAGTGATTGGTCGGTTCTGTTTCAGGATTACATCAGTGATTGGTCGCCTGAGGAGACGGTTCAGAGGATGCAGCACGGAAAGGTAACACACCTGTAAACACACACTGCAGTACTACATGTTCTGCAAATACAGTGTATAGTACAGAACTGCTCCTGGGGTATAATGCAGTACGCTGTACTTATACTTCAGGCGGTGTGTAATGCAGTAATGCAGTACTCTGTGTACTTATACTTCAGGCGGTGTATAATGCATTACTCTGTGTACTTGTACTTCAGGCTGTGTATAATGCACTTAAATCACTTCAGAACAAAAAGGTTTCTAGTTTCCCACAAAAAATGAAGGTCAGTGATTCTTTTATTTCAGATGGTATGTCTAATGCCTTCATTGCTCACTTCAAAAAGGCTGGTCATGGTCGTACTCACAGCCCTAGTCAAGAGATGAACTAGCTTCTTTCTCGGTCTCTGAAGTCTTACAGGGTTTGCACTCAATTGATCCTACAAAGTCTGCCGGGCCTGACGGCCTCGACCCGTTCTTTTTAAAAATTGCAGCTCAGATTATTGCACAACCAGTAACTGATATTTGTAACCTCTCCCTGTCCACTCACACACTGCCAGCTGTGTGGAAGCAAGCTCTGGTATCGCCCCTCTTGAAAGCTGGTGATCCCACGGAGTTGAATAACTATCGTCCTATCTCAAATTGTTCTGTGTTATCAAAGATTCTTGAGTCCCTAGTTTCTACTCGGCTAAAACTTTTTTTAAATTCACACGACATCCTTAACCCTATGCAATCTGGATTCAGATCAAAGCACAGTACTGTGACTGCCGGTCTGAAAGTCTTAGACGATATTAAGGCTGCTTTGGATAAAAAAATCTGTTTGTGTTGCATTGTTTATTGACCTGGCCAAAGCATTTGACTCTGTAGATCACCACATTCTGTCTAATGTTATGTTGATGTCTCGTTTCGGTCATAATGCCATTTGCTGGTTTCAGAGTTCTCTAACCCAGTGTTTTCCAAAGTGGGGGGCCCCGACCCCCCGCGGGGCCGCCAGGAGGTGCCAGGGGGGTCACGCAAATTGTGAGGGAAAGGGGAATTTTTCTTTTTTTAAAGTTACATTTTTTTCTTTTTTTAGATGTTATTAATAACTGCATATCTATCAATCTATGTGTCCTTTTATGCCAATCTTTTAATATTTTTTATTTATAAATATATACAGTGGGGCAAAAAAGTATGTAGTCATTCACCAATTGTGCAAGTTCTCACACTTAAAAAGATGAGAGAGGCCTGTAATTTTCATCCTAGGTATACCTCAACTATGAGAGACAGAATGAGAAAAGAAAATCACATTGTCTGATTTTTAAAGAATGTATTTGCAAATTATGGTGGAAAATAAGTATTTGGTCAATAACAAAAGTTCATCTCAATACTTTGTTATATACCCTTTGTTGGCAATGACAGAGGTCAAACGTTTTCTGTAAGTCTTCACAAGGTGTTCACACACTGTTGCTGGTATTTTGGTCCATTCCTCCATGCAGATCTCCTCCAGAGCAGTGATGTTTTGGGGCTGTCGCTGGGCAACACAGACTTTCAACTCCCTCCAAAGATTTTCTATGGGGTTGAGATCTGGAGACTGGCTAGGCCACTCCAGGACCTTGAAATGCTTCTTACGAAGCCACTCCTTCGTTGCCCGGGCGTTGTGTTTGGGATCATTGTCATGCTGAAAGACCCAGCCACGTTTCATCCTCAATGCCCTTGCTGATGGAAGGAGGTTGTCACTCAAAATCTCACGATACATGGCCCCATTCATTCTTTCCTTTACACGGATCAGTGGTCCTGGTCCCTTTGCAGAAACACAGCCCCAAAGCATGATGTTTTCACCCCCATGTTTCACAGTAGGTGTTCTTTGGATGCAACTCAGCATTCGTTCTCCTCCAAACACGTCTAGTTGAGTTTTTACCAAAAAGTTCTATTTTGGTTTCATCTGACCATATGACATTCTCCCAATCCTCTTCTGGATCATCTAAATGCTCTCTAGCAGACTTCAGACGGGCCTGGACATGTACTGGCTTAAGCAGGGGGACACGTCTGGCACTGCAGGGTTTGAGTCCCTGGCGGCGTAGTGTGTTACTGATGGTAGCCTTTGTTACTTTGGTCCCAGCTCTCTGCAGGTCATTGACTCGGTCCCCCCGTGTGGTTCTGGGATCTTTGCTCACCGTTCTTGTGATCATTTTGACCCCACGGGGTGAGATCTTGCGTGGAGCCCCAGATCGAGGGAGATTATCAGTGGTCTTGTATGTCTTCCATTTTCTAATAATTGCTCCCACAGTTGATTTATTCACACCAAGCTGCTCACCTATTGCAGATTCAATCTTCCCAGCCTGGTGCAGGTCTACCATTGTGTTTCTGGTGTCCTTTGACAGCTCTTTGGTCTTGGCCATAGTGGAGTTTGGAGTGTGACTGTTTGAGGTTGTGGACAGGTGTCTTTTATACTGATAACGAGTTCAAACAGGTGCCATTAATACAGTTAACGAGTGGAGGCAGGGCTCGACATTAAGGACTGCCCGATGGCCCGGGGCCATCTAGTATTTAGCTCGGGCAATGAAGCCTCACCTGCTGGTTGCACGATCGGGCAATCTATTATGCCAGTATCATGCAGCTCGCGGATCCAGTAATGAGTGACCCGACAGTAAAACTAAACATATCTATAACTAGTTACGGTAGTTTGAGAGGTCATTAAAATAGCTACGTGTGATATTCTAACCTGAAGTGTGTGTTTTGTCCGCTCACCGCTGCATGTGATCATGCAGAGCTGCGTGTCGACTCGTCAGCAGCAGCTGATCTCTCTCTCCCGTCAGATTAGACTTCACTCGCGTTTATGTTCATATCGATCAGATCCAGCTAGTTCTAGCTAATGATAGGACTACCTGCTTATTAAAAGACACCTGAACAATAAGTGTCGCTATGCAACTGGATGAGGCCGCAAAGTATAGCGCAGCATTATGCATTTGTTTACATGCCCACCGGAACCCAGAGGCATTACCAACAGATCAACACACAATCAACCCACACAGGACATCTCTTTCTCCACATTAAGTGTTAGACATTAGAATTTACTCTTCTTGTCTGTCACATACGTGGCGTAACTGAAGCGGTATTGCGCTAAAGGGACATTATTTTGACTGGACATTTTGACCGAAGAGATTTAGATTTGCCGGCTAACGGGAACTCTGACGTCCCATGTTGTGTGCTTGGCGGATGCGCTCGGCTCCTCTCGACTGCTGCTCGGGTCTGCTCGGTCAGCTTCCGGATGAGGAGGCATTTGTTCGACCAACTTACAGTAGATAACATTACAAACATTTTTAACAGGGGCCATAATAGTGTAAATAATGTTTGTTTTGGCAGTTATAACTGAATGTAATGTTTTCTACTTTTTTACATCTGGGAAGGCATTTGCCTTCATCAGATGGAAAGTGTCTTGACCAACAACTTAAGTATTTCTTAAAGCTATGCAGGGCATGCAAGCGAGCAAACACAAACAAGAACAAACAAACAAACAAGTGAAATGAAGAATACAATTGAACAATATAATATTGTGGTGGTTCATCTTATAATTCAGTCTAGAGAACCAGACAGCATCTAAGACCTGCAAAAATCTAAATGTTCTAGGGGGAGGCCCCCAAACCCTTCGTGCGTCATTTCGTCCGCGCGCATTTTTCAGGGCAATCTCTATTGGGCTCAGGGCCATCTGTAAATTAGCTTAGATGGTCCACAGGGCCATCTCCCAAAATCCTTAATGTCATGCACTGGGAGGACAGAGGAGGCTCTTAAAGAAGAAGTTACAGGTCGGTGAGAGCCATAAATCTTATTTGTTTGTAGGTGACCAAATACTTATTTTACCGAGGAATTTACCAATTAATTCATTAAAAATCCTACAATGTGATTTCCTGGATTATTTCCCCCCATTCTGTCTCTCATAGTTGAAGTGTACCGAGGATGAACATTACAGGCCTCATCTTTTTAAGTGGGAGAACTTGCAGAATTGGTGGCTGACTAAATACTTTTTTTCCCCACTGTATATATATTTTTTAAATCACACGATCGCCCTTCAAGCCAATCAGAATCAAGCTGCCGCTACTGAGAGTGAAACTGAGTATCTGCTCAGCTTTTGGAGCAAGTGAGAGCTCGTGAATATTTCACTCTGCAGCTGGATGAGAGCACGGATGTAGCAAATATTGTTGTTTATATATATATGAATATAAATATGTTTATTGTTAATATTACTGTTGAATATTATATATAATATTATTAAGGCATAAGTAGCTTTCAAAAATGCAAAACAATTATGTTAATTGTTCATATTACTGTTCAAAATTATATAATATTATAAAGACAGAAATCACTTTAAAAATATGTTTACTGTTGATATTACTGTTTAATATTGTGCTAAGAATGTTTATAACGGAAGACACAATTAATGTAATGAATGACAAACAAAAGATAAATACAAAAAATGTTTAGAAGAATAACTGATTACTAATTATTAATACAAATACATAATAAGAAAATGTATTAAGCTGTATGATTAATTTGTCATATTTTCCATCATAAGGTACTCATCATTTAAAAAATAAATTGCAAGGATAATGCTATATGGGGTCCTTGGCATGGCAAAGTTTGGGAACCCCTGATCTAACCGACCGTACTCAATGCGTCAGGCTGGGTAGTACTGTCTCTGAGCCTGTCACCTTGGAGAAGGGAGTTCCACAAGGCTCTATTTTGGGGCCTTTGCTCTTTTTATTATATGTAAACAATATTTGTAATCAGATGCAATTTTCCACCCATCACATGTATGCTGATGACGCTATTGTATACTCATGAGCTCCTTCTCTGGATATGGCCGTTTCCAATTAAAATCTGATGTCATCACGCTGCAGCATGCGCTTCTTGATTCCAAACTGCTTTTGAACAGTAATAAAACCAAAGCAATGCTTTTTGCTCCCAAGTCAGCATCCTCTTGCCTCTCCATTGACACCCTTGATGGCGTCTCTGTTGAGTTTGTCGATACCTACAAATATCTTGGCTTTTGGTTGGACAGTAATCTGAACTTTAAACATCACATTGAAGTTCTATCAAAGAAATTGAAATTCACTCTTGGCTTCCTTTACAGACTTAAATGTTGTTTTTCAACTTCTTCCCGTAAATGGTTGGTCTCTGGATTATTCCTGTCCCAGCTGGACTACGGTGATACCATCTATAGATTTGCCTGTCCCTCTGTTTGGGCCAAACCTGACCCACTCTACCATGCTGCACTGCGTTGTATATCAGATGCACCCTATAGGACTCATCATTGCACACTGTAGCCTAACTGGATGGTCCTCACTTACTATGCGTAGCATGCAGCATTGGTTTTATTAATGTATAAAGCCATTTTAGGAAAGCTTCCACTCTACATATGTGCCAGATCTGCTCCAGCTTGTGACTCTCACAGCCTCAGAACCAGTGCCTGATTCAGGTCCAGGTGCCTGGATACGGGTCCAGGTGCCTGATACAGGTCCAGGTGCCTGGATACGGGTCCAGGTTCCTGCTGTGCGGACTGAGGCTGGGAAAAAGGAGTCTTTTTCATTCTGGTCCTTGGTCTTGGAACGACCTTCAATCACGCCTCAAACTGAGGACACTTGTCTCAATAGCCTGTTTTTAAATGGAAGTTGTCTGAGGTCCTTACCTCCAGCTGCTCTGGCTGTGATAAGCAGTAACTTTCTTACTGTCCTAATGTGCTCAATATAGGGACTGCTTTTCCTCTTTTGTTTACTTAGTTATGTTCTCTGTATTTTACATGTCTGTGTTCTGTGTCACGTTGCTGCCTTCTTGGCCAGGTCAGCGTTGAACATGAGATTTGATCTCAATGCTTTTATATCTAGATAAAAAAAGTAATGCAGTACTCTGTACTTGTACTTCAGGCCGTGTATAATGCAGTACTTTGTGTACTTGTATTTCAGGTCGTGTCTCTGGAGAAGTTCCGATCCCTGCAGGACAAACTGCTGCTGCTCGACTTCTCCGTCAGCGCCAACGATGGGAACGTCATCACCGCCGTAACTTTATTTATAATGACAACATCATATATAACTTTATTTATAATCTGAAGCATGACAACACTATCTCATATAACTTTATTAACAGCTGTTCTCTCCACGCAGGTTTTGATATATTTAAAGAGGACTCTGAGTAAAGGTGAGAGAATACTACTTCCTGTTGTACATTACATTACATTGCATTTAGCTGACGCTTTTATCCAAAGCGACTTACAATAAGTGCGTTCGACCAACAAAATACAACTTGAAGAAAACAGAATCATATAAGTACATCAGGTTTCATAGAGCCAAACATTTCAAGTGCTACTCAACTGGCTTTAGGTAAGCCAGTCCTTTATTAGTATATAAGTGCTTTGTTAATAGTTATATCGCTGGAAGTGGAGTCGAAAGAGATGAGTTTTCAGTTTGCGCCGGAAGATGTGCAAGCTATCTGCTGTCCTGATGTCAATGGGAGCTCATTCCACCATCCTGGAGCCAGGACAGCAAACCCACGTGTTTTCGCCGATGGGAACTTGGGTCCCCCTCGCAGCGAGGGTGCAGCGAGTCGTTTGGCTGATGCAGAGCGTAGTGCACGCGCTGGGGTGTACTGATGATACTTCCTGTTGAACCTGATGTTACTTCCTGTTGAACCTGATGTTACTTCCTGTTGAACCTGATGTTACTTCCTGTTGAACCTGATGTTACTTCCTGTTGAACCTGATGTGACTTCCTGTTTCTGACAGAGGTTTTGTTCCGCGAGCTGCAGTCCAGACAAACGGCTCTGAGACATTTAATCTGCTACCTGAGAGAGAGCCGAGACCACCGTCTGCTGCAGGAGCTGTTCAGGTCTCTGAGTACACCTGTACACACACCTGCACACGCCTGCTCACACACGCACACACACCTGCACAGCACACGCCTATACACACCTGTACACACACCTGCACAGCACACGCCTAAACACACCTGCACACACACCTGCACAGCACACACCTGTACACACACCTACACACACCTGTACACACACCTATACACACCTGCACACACCTGTACACACCTGTACACACCTACACACACCTGTACACACACATACACACACCTACACACACCTGTACACACCTGTGCACACACCTACACACACCTGTACACACACCTACACACACCTGCACACACACCTGCACCACCTACACACGCCTACACACACCTGTACACACACCTGCACACACACATGCATGCACACACCTATACACACCTACACACACCTGTACACACATACACCACCTACACACACCTGTACACACACCTGTACACACACCTACACACACCTGTACACACGCCTGCACAGACCTGTACACACGCCTACACACACATGTACACACCTACACACTTGTACACACACCTCTACACACCTGTTCACACACCTACACACACCTGTACACACGCCTACACACACCTGTACACACCTACACACACTTGTACACACGCCTACACACACCTGCACACACACCTACACCACTTACACACACCTGTACACACACCTACACACACCTGTACACACACCTACACACACCTGCACACACATGCACACACCTGCACACACACCTGCACACACACCTACACACGCCTACACACACGCCTACACACACCTACACCACCTACACACACCTGTACACACACCTACACACACCTGCACACACCTACACCACCTACACACACCTACGCACACACCTGTACACACACCTACACACACCTGCACACACCTGTACACACACCTACACACACCTGCACACACCTACACCACCTACACATGCCTACACACACCTGCACACACACCTACACACGCCTACACACACCTGTACACACACCTACACACACCTGTACACACACCTGTACACACACCTGTACACACGCCTACACACACCTACACACGCCTACACACACACACACCTGTACACACACCTGTACACACACCTGTACACACACCTGTACACACACCTATACACACACACATACACCACCTACACACACCTGTACACACACACCTGTACACACACCTGTACACACGCCTGTACACACACCTGCACACACACATGCACACACCTACACACACCTGTACACACATACACCACCTACACACACCTGTACACACACCTGTACACACACCTGCACACACACCTACACACACACCTACACCACCTACACACACCTGTGCACACACCTACACACACCTGCACACACACCTGCACACACCTGTACACACACCTACACACACCTACATATACCTGCACACACACCTGTACACACACCTGCACACACCTGTACACACACCTGCACACACACCTACACACACACCTGCACACACACCTGCACACACACCTGCACACACACCTACACACACACCTGCACACACACCTGCACACACACCTGCACACACACCTACACACACACCTACACACACCTCTACACACGCCTACACACACCTGTACACCGCCTACACAAACCTGTACACTAGGGTTGTAACGGTTCACATAAGTCACGGTTCGGTTCGTACCTCGGTTTGGGGTCACGGTTCGGTACGGGTTCGGTACAACAAGAAAAAGCAAAAAAAAGTCCCAAATGCATAATTCCAGGTTTGTTGTTATTTATTTTTGAACAGTAGTGCAAGTTTCAGTTTAAAAATAAGGCACTCTGACATTTTGAATAATTAACTGTATTAAACAGTTAAAAACAAACCATACACAGTACCACAAACACTCAGATGGCCATATTATCTATAATGGCTCATGTCAAACAAAAAGGTTTCATCAAGCTGTAAAACTAAAAAGAATGTCTTGAAAATATTACATCATAAATAATAAGCCAAAAGCTTCCGTTATTTATTTTGGTCTCACTGCTTTCATGCCTATTGGCTTCTTAAAAACAGCGGGGATAAGCTGCTGAACTTGTCTTTCGCCGGGCTCCGGTGATTGGCAAATCTGGGTGATGCCTTCTGATATGATTTAGCATGTTTGGCGTGTGTTACCATTAGCATACCGCACCGCTGTCTAACAACGCCGACACACCGTCCTCGTCCGATCCACCACTCGTCCGATCCACCACTCGCGCACTTCATCGTTATTGTAGTCCACAGGGATCCCGAAATGTTCCCACACAGCTGATTTAAAAGAAGCAGGTGGTTCTAGCTCCTATGTGTTATCTGAAATCGCCATACTAACTTTTCTTCTTCTTGTATTTTGTTCATTTTGTTGTGTTTTGTTCTTGTTCTTCATTTGTTGTTTAAGGGCGGCTGGCAAACAGCTTTTAGGCGCAATACCGCCCCCTGGATTATATATAGTGTAGTGGATACTGCCCTGAATGACAGACTTTTTTCCCACTCGTAAAAAAAAGGCGTATTCGCCGTGTGACTGCGTGTGCCGAACCGTGACGTCCGAACCGTGACGGTACGGGACGAATACGGATACCGTTACACCCCTACTGTACACACACCTACACCACCTACACACACCTATACACGCCTACACACACCTGTACACACATACACCACCTACACACACCTGTACACACACCTGCACACACACCTACACACCTACACACACCTGCACACACCTACACCACCTACACACACCTGTACACACACCTACACACACACACCTGCACACACCTGTACACACACCTACACACACCTGCACACACACCTGCACACACACCTGCACACACACCTACACCACCTACACACACCTCTACACACGCCTACACACACCTGTGTTGTGGAAATAATTACCTGTACACACATACACCGCCTACACACACCTGCACACACACCTACACCACCTACACACACCTGTACACGCCTACACACACCTACACACACTTGTACACACCTACACCGCCTACACACACCTGTACACACACCTACACACACCTGTACACACCTACACCGCCTACATACATACACCTGCACACACCTGTACATCTGTACACACTGAGTTTATCTGATGTGATTCCTTGTTCTGCTGCTTAGAGCTCTGGGCCGAACGGAGGACGAGGCGGTACGTACAACAAATAACAAGCACACACTCATAGCACAAACACACACTACACACTCATAGCACAAACACACACTACACACTCATAGCACAACCACACACTACACACTCATAGCACAACCACACACTACACACCAGTGGCCCTCTGACCCCCCTTCCCTAAAGAAAATAAGAGTTATCACGTCTCAGCGTAGACTTCAGTGGAATATCAGAACAGCGGGCCGGGTGCAAAACGCATCACTGACAGTGACCCTCTGCCACACAGAACAACACCATGTATAGAAACACCTCTCAGGACAGGCGCCCACAGCCAAGTAACAATTATAAATGAACTAAGTCGGCACGGCGGCCCACATTGAAAATGACTTAGGCCTACCTCTGATGATCAAATCACTTACAGTGGACCTATCATGTAGGGTCATACCTCTATAAAACATGTCTGTGAAGCTTTTTTTTCAAAATACCAAACAGGTCCTGCATTTTAGCCAGGCCTCATTTCGCTCTATTTGCTCTTTTCCAGCCCTGTTTTTGCAGTGGCTGATTCTGTGGCAAATGAGCTGCAGCTGACCACGCCCCCCTCCTGCAAAGGAGGGGGGCGTGGCACGAGCGTCATGTTACCATGCTGTTACCATGCCACGCAACCCCCCATTCCCCTGATTGGTGGAGAGTTGCCCATATAGGCGGAGCACCCCGTTGCTGACGTCAGAGATATTTCAAATCTCTATCAGTCTGTATCAGATCCGTTGCAGCCCCTTTTTTAGAGATTTGGGTACGGAGGAAAAGAGAGAGGGTTGTGTTTTCTGACACACCGGGGACACATCTTCATGAATACAAGACGTACACAAGTGCATTTTGCATGATCGGTCCCCTTTAAACACAAAGTCCATCCTCCTGTCCTTCTGGATGAAGCACTTGCGGGTCATGCAGCTGATCCTTTGCCACTCCAGTTTATCATTGGAACTCAATCTTGAAAATGACTCGGTTAATAATTTCGCAACGATGTCATCACTATCACTGACATGAGCCATCATGAACAAACTTATGCTAATTATAAATCTATCGATCATAAATCTATCGATTACATTTATGATTAGAAAATAATAAAAGTAGGATAGACATGTGGATATTATCCGGCTGAACAAAACGTGCATTTATCTAACAGGTTCGTTTTCCACAGACCTTATTTCGAGCTATTTTCCAAAACCCTCTGGAGAAATGCCACTGCTTTCTGTCGAAGGAACCCGCAGCTTACTTCCGGGTTTTAGGATGCGTCACTGCACCACTTGCATAGACCTCACGGTGGGCGGAACTTGTCATAAAGTCCGCGAAAATAAAGCCCGCCCATTTAGAGGGAGGATATGATTGGTCAATTGTACTGTCATTTGACATTACTCTCTCATTGAGTTACTATAGCGGCCCTCTGTGAATGTAGAGAGGGACCACCAATCAGCTCCTGTCTTCACAGTGACTGGCAGAGAGGGCCAAAGGAGCTTTCATTTAACCCTTCACATTCAGACAAACTGAACAGGCTGACAGGAAGGATTTATTTCTTTGGAAATGTTATTTTAAATAGAATTAAATCAAATAATTTTGGTAAAATTAATGACAAATATTTGTAAAAAAAAGACATTTTAAAAAAAAAGAAGCGTTTTTTATGGTTTCAAATATTATTTTGTAGAATATCTTAGTCAGGGCCTAGAGGGCCCTGACGGCTCGCCACTGCTACACACACATAGCACAAACACACACTACACACACACACACACACACACACACACACACACACACACACACACACACACACACACACACACACACACACACACACACACACACACTCTTCCTCAGTTCACAGGTGATTTCACTTTCTGTTTCTGTTTCCATGGCGACAGCTGCTAAAGTATAAAGAACACCTGAGCATTGCTGACGAAAACAAGAGGCGGGACTTCCTGAAGACCTGCCTCAGGTAACACGTGTACAAATACTCTGAACTGATGTTTGCATACTTTAACACGTGTACAAATATTCTGAACTGATGTTTGCATACTTTAACACGTGTACAAATACTCTGAACTGATGTTTACGTACAAACACTCTGTTTCCAGTCTTCCATTTTCTCCAGAAGATTTGGCTCTCGTCCAGGATCACTACACTCTGCTGGAGAGACAAATCATCATCGAGGTCGGTTTAATCCCAGTTTAACTCCAGTTTAACTCCAGTTTAACTCCAGTTTAATCCCAGTTTAATCCCAGTTTAACTCCAGTTTAATCCCAGTTTAACTCCAGTTTAACTCCAGTTTAACTCCAGTTTAATCCCAGTTTAACTCCAGTTTAATCCCAGTTTAACTCCGGTTTAATCCCAGTTTAACTCCAGTTTAACTCCAGTTTAATCCCAGTTTAACTCCGGTTTAATCCCAGTTTAACTCCAGTTTAACTCCAGTTTAATCCCAGTTTAACTCCAGTTTAACTCCAGTTTAATCCCAGTTTAACTCCAGTTTAACTCCAGTTTAACTCCAGTTTAATCCCAGTGTAATCCCACCTGTTGCAGGCCACTGATCGGCAGGCTGAGCGAGGAGGGAAGCTTCCAACGAAAACGATGCCGATTCTCAACATGTCGCTCATCACAACGTTGTACTACTGCTGCTTCTACCACTACTCTGAGGCCAAGGTTAGTCCGGGTTAAACCAGGTCGAGGTTAGTCCGGGTTAAACCAGGATGAGGTTAGTCCGGGTTAAACCAGTTCCAGGTTAGTCCGGGTTCAACTAAACTAGGCTGAGGTTAGTCCGGGTTAAACCAGGCTGAGGTTAGTCCGGGTTAAACCAGGTCCGGGTTAAACTAAACTAGGCTGAGGTTAGTCCGGGTTAAGCCAGGATGAGGTTAGTCCGGGTTAAACCAGTTCCAGGTTAGTCCGGGTTAAACTAAACTAGGCTGAGGTTAGTCCGGGTTAAACCAGGCTGAGGTTAGTCCGGGTTAAACTAAACTAGGCTGAGGTTAGTCCGGGTTAAGCCAGGATGAGGTTAGTCCGGGTTAAACCAGTTCCAGGTTAGTCCGGGTTAAACTAAACTAGGCTGAGGTTAGTCCGGGTTAAACCAGGCTGAGGTTAGTCCGGGTTAAACCAGTTCCAGGTTAGTCCGGGTTCAACTAAACTAGGCCGAGGTTATTCTGAACCTGAATATTGAAAGCAGTTTAACTTGTGTCTCTTCCTGTTTGCAGAACACCTTCAGCAGCCCTCTGAACGTGCGTCAGACCTTCAAGGTGAGCCGTGGTGGTGTGACAGCCAGGTGAGTTACAGGAGGTTACAGGTAAGGTCTTCGCCCTCTCACCTGGTTGACCTCTGACCTCAGATCTCGGAGAAGCAGTTCTTCGTGACGGCTCTAGCTGCGCGGGCGGAGCTGAAGGAGTGGTTAGATGTCGACGCTCTGTTTACCTGCAGGAACTGGCTCGGATTCACCAAGAAGAAATCTCCACTCAGCTTCCAGCGCGTGGTCGATGTCCTGCAGAAGAACTCCGCCCCCACACAGGTGAGAGGGAGGGACTACCCTGCTGAAAACAGGTGTGCGACTGGCAGGTGTGCTGTTAATTGACAGGTGTGTTGTTTATTTGACAGGTGTGTTGTTTCTTTGACAGGTTTGTTGATTGATTGACAGGTGTGTTGTTTATTTGACAGGTGTGTTGTTTCTTTGACAGGTTTGTTGATTGATTGACAGGTGTGTTGTTTGATTGATAGGTGTGTTGTTTCTTTGACAGGTGTGTTGATTGATTGACAGGTGTGTTGATTGATTGACAGGTGTGTTGATTGATTGACAGGTGTGTTGTTTCTTTGACAGGTGTGTTGTTTCTTTGACAGGTGTGTTGATTGATTGACAGGTGTGTTGATTGATTGACAGGTGTGTTGTTTCTTTGACAGGTGTGTTGTTTGATTGACAGGTGTGTTGTTTCTTTGACAGGTGTGTTGTTTCTTTGACAGGTGTGTTGATTGATTGACAGGTGTGTTGATTGATTGACAGGTGTGTTGTTTATTTTACAGGTGTGTTGATTGATTGACTGGTGTGTTGTTTGATTGACAGGTGTGTTGTTTCTTTGACAGGTTTGTTGATTGATTGACAGGTGTGTTGATTGATTGACAGGTGTGTTGTTTCTTTGACAGGTGTGTTGTTTGATTGACAGGTGTGTTGTTTCTTTGACAGGTGTGTTGTTTCTTTGACAGGTGTGTTGATTGATTGACAGGTGTGTTGTTTATTTTACAGGTGTGTTGATTGATTGACAGGTGTGTTGTTTGATTGACAGGTGTGTTGTTTGATTGACAGGTGTGTTGTTTCTTTGACAGGTGTGTTGTTTGATTGACAGGTGTGTTGTTTATTTTACAGGTGTGTTGATTGATTGACAGGTGTGTTGATTGATTGACAGGTGTGTTGTTTGATTGACAGGTGTGTTGTTTCTTTGACAGGTGTGTTGTTTCTTTGACAGGTGTGTTGATTGATTGACAGGTGTGTTGTTTGATTGACACGTGTGTTGTTTCTTTGACAGGTGTGTTGATTGATTGACAGGTGTGTTGATTGATTGACAGGTGTGTTGTTTATTTTACAGGTGTGTTGATTGATTGACAGGTGTGTTGTTTGATTGACAGGTGTGTTGTTTCTTTGACAGGTGTGTTGATTGATTGACAGGTGTGTTGTTTGATTGACAGGTGTGTTGATTGATTGACAAGTGTGTTGATTGATTGACACGTGTGTTGATTGATTGACAGGTGTATTGATTGATTGACAGGTGTGTTGATTGATTGACAGGTGTGTTGTTTATTTTACAGGTGTGTTGATTGATTGACAGGTGTGTTGTTTGATTGACAGGTGTGTTGTTTATTTTACAGGTGTGTTGATTGATTGACAGGTGTGTTGATTGATTGACAGGTGTGTTGTTTGATTGACAGGTGTGTTGTTTGATTGACAAGTGTGTTGATTGATTGACACGTGTGTTGATTGATTGACAGGTGTATTGATTGATTGACAGGTGTGTTGTTTGATTGACTGGTGTGTTGTTTGATTGACAGGTGTGTTGATTGACAGGTGTGTTGATTGATTGACAGGTGTGTTGTTTGATTGACTGGTGTGTTGTTTGATTGACAGGTGTGTTGATTGACAGGTGTGTTGATTGATTGACAGGTGTGTTGTTTGATTGACAGGTGCTGCAGGACTACGTGGCGCTGGTTGATGATGCGGAGCTTAGGATCACTTTGGCCCAGAAGCATAAATGTCACGACATCGTTATCAACGTGAGACTTTCATAATAATAATAATAATAATAATAATGAGTATTTAAAAGCTTACTTACGTTGATGTCATGATGACTGGCGTCTCTCTGGGCCAATCAGACATACCGAGACCTGAAGGACCGGCAGCAGTTGCTAGTATACCGAGGAAAGGTCGAGACGGGGTCGGCCGAGGAGAGGAGGATCGATGAGCTGCTGACCAATCAGGTGAGGGTGGGGGGCAACCAGGTGAGGGGGGGGTGGGCAACCCTGAAGGGGGTCATCATGTGACCTTTTTTCTTCTTCTTTTTCAGCAAATTCGTTGGAAGAACTGAAAGCCTAAACTAAAGACTTTTACTTTGAAAATGAGGCTTCTTCCAGATACAAGAGAAGAGCTGTCACCATGGCAACAAGAACATTCAATTAGATTGCAGATGCTGATTGACCCCGCCCACAGGACACTGGGTGGGTGGGGCTTGTATTTCTGCTGAGTCAACGTTTCGACATTCCTCTTGATTTGATAAATAATGTTGTAAAAACTATTAAAACTTTATTTAAAAATGTGACTTTTTCTTTTTTATTGGAAGACGAGAAGCGGAAGTCTGCCGAAAATCGCTTTCCAACAATATCGCAAACACGCTGACTAGGGGTGTAACGGTATCCGGATTCGTCCCGAACCGTCACGGTTCGGTGCACGCAGTCACACGACGAATACGTCTTTTTTTTTATGAGTGGGAAAAAAATTCTGTCATTCAGGGCAGTATCCATTACACTATTTATAATCCAGGGGGCGGTATTGCGCCTAAAAGCTGTTTGCCAGCCGCCCTTAAACAACAAATGAAAAAGAAGAAGACACACAACAAAACGAACAAAATACAAGAAGAAGAAAAGTTAGTAAGGCGATTTCAGATAACACACAGGAGCTAGAACCCACCTGCTTCTTTTAAATCAGCTGTGTGGGAACATTTCGGGTTCGAGTGTGCGAGTGGTGGATCGAACGAGGACGGTGTATTGCGTTGTTCGATAGCGGTGCGGTAAGCTAATGGTAACACACGCTAAACCATATCAGAAGGCATCACCCAGATTTGCCAATCACAGAGCCCGCCAAAAGACAGCAGCAGTTCAGCAGCTGATCCCCGCTGCTTTTAAGAAGCCAATAGACATGAAAGCCGAGAGACCAAAAATAAATAACGGAAGCTTTTGGCATATGTTTTTCAACGACTTTGCGCTCTTGAAACACTTTCTTATTATTTATGATGTAATATTTTCAAGACATTCTTTTTAGTTTTACAGCTTATTGAACCTTTGTGTTTGACATCAGCGATTATAGATAATCTGGCCATCTGAGTGTTTGTGGTTTGTTTTTAACTCTGTAATAAAGTGAATTATTCTAAATATTAGTTTTTTATTTTTAAACTGAAACATGCTCTACTGTTCACAAATAAATAACAAACCTGGAATTATGCATCTGGGACTTTGTTTTTTCTTTTTCTTGTTGTACCGAACCGTGAACTCTGTGAACCGTTACATCCCTAGCGATGACTGATTAAAGTCCTGAAAATGTATACAGATAATAAGACTGCTGTTCATCATACACATAGCAACTGGAGCTCTACATTACTCAGAGAGAGACAGCTCTACATTACTCAGAGAAAACTCTACATTACTCAGAGAGAGACAGCTCTACATTACTCAGTGACAGCTCTACATTACTCAGAGTGACAGCTCTACATTACTCAGAGAGAGACAGCTCTACATTACTCAGAGAAAACTCTACATTACTCAGAGAGACAGCTCTACATTACTCAGTGACAGCTCTACATTACTCAGAGAGACAGCTCTACATTGCTCAGAGAGACAGCTCTACATTACTCAGAGAGACAGCTCTAAATTACTCAGTGACAGCTCTACATTACTCAGAGAGACAGCTTTACATTACTCAGAGAGATAGCTCTACATTACTCAGAGAGATAGCTCTACATTACTCAGAGTGACAGCTTTACATTACTCAGTGTGACAGCTCTACATTACTCAGAGAGAGACAGCTCTACATTACTCAGTGTGACAGCTCTACATTACTCAGTGTGACAGCTCTACATTACTCAGAGAAAACTCTACATTACTCAGAGAGACAGCTCTACATTACTCAGTGACAGCTCTACATTACTCAGAGAGACAGCTCTACATTGCTCAGAGAGACAGCTCTACATTACTCAGAGAGACAGCTCTACATTACTCAGTGACAGCTCTACATTACTCAGAGAGACAGCTCTACATTACTCAGTGTGACAGCTCTACATTACTCAGAGAGAGACAGCTCTACATTACTCAGAGAGACAGCTCTACATTACTCAGTGTGACAGCTCTACATTACTCAGAGAGAGACAGCTCTACATTACTCAGAGAGAGACAGCTCTACATTACTCAGAGAGATAGCTCTACATTACTCAGAGTGACAGCTCTACATTACTCAGAGAGACAGCTCTACATTACTCAGAGTGATAGCTCTACATTACTCAGAGTGACAGCTCTACATTACTCAGAGTGACAGCTCTACATTACTCAGAGAGAGACAGCTCTACATTACTCAGAGTGACAGCTCTACATTACTCAGAGAGACAGCTCTACATTACTCAGAGAGACAGCTCTACATTACTCAGAGAGACAGCTCTACATTACTCAGAGAGAGATAGCTCTACATTACTCAGAGAGACAGCTCTACATTACTCAGAGAGAGACAGCTCTACATTACTCAGAGTGATAGCTCTACATTACTCAGAGAGTGACAGCTCTACATTACTCAGAGTGACAGCTCTACATTACTCAGAGTGACAGCTCTACATTACTCAGAGAGAGACAGCTCTACATTACTCAGAGTGACAGCTCTACATTACTCAGAGAGACAGCTCTACATTACTCAAAGTGACAGCTCTACATTACTCAGAGTGAGACAGCTCTACATTACTCAGAGTGATAGCTCTACATTACTCAGAGTGACAGCTCTACATTACTCAGAGTGACAGCTCTACATTACTAAGAGTGATAGCTCTACATTACTCAGAGAGAGAGACAGCTCTACATTACTCAGAGTGAGAGCTCTACATTACTCAGAGTGATAGCTCTACATTACTCAGAGAGACAGCTCTACATTACTCAGAGAGAGACAGCTCTACATTACTCAGAGAGACAGCTCTACATTACTCAGAGAGACAGCTTACATTACTCAGAGAGACAGCTCTACATTAATCAGAGAGAGACAGCTCTACATTACTCAGAGAGAGACAGCTCTACATTACTCAGAGAGAGATAGCTCTACATTACTCAGAGAGACAGCTCTACATTACTCAGAGTGACAGCTCTACATTACTCAGAGAGAGACAGCTCTACATTACTCAGAGAGAGACAGCTCTACATTACTCAGAGTGACAGCTCTACATTACTCAGAGAGAGACAGCTTTACATTACTCAGAGGGACAGCTCTACATTACTCAGAGAGACAGCTCTACATTACTCAGAGAGAGACAGCTCTACATTACTCAGAGAGACAGCTCTACATTACTCAGAGAGTGATAGCTCTACATTACTCAGAGAGACAGCTCTACATTACTCAGAGAGAGACAGCTCTACATTACTCAGAGAGACAGCTCTACATTACTCAGAGAGAGACAGCTCTACATTACTCAGAGTGACAGCTCTACATTACTCAGAGAGATAGCTCTACATTACTCAGAGTGATAGCTCTACATTACTCAGAGAGAGATAGCTCTACATTACTCAGAGAGAGACAGCTCTACATTACTCAGAGAGATAGCTCTACATTACTCAGAGAGAGACAGCTCTACATTACTCAGAGAGAGACAGCTCTACATTACTCAGAGAGACAGCTCTACATTACTCAGAGAGAGACAGCTCTACATTACTCAGAGAGAGACAGCTCTACATTACTCAGAGAGAGACAGCTCTACATTACTCAGAGAGACATTTCTACATTACTCAGAGAGAGACAGCTCTACATTACTC